GGATAATCTCCAGAAATCAATTTAAAGGGTAATAAAATAATTGCTGATATTTTCCCTATAAGTATTACAAAAACACAAAATAAGCATAAATAAGTATTTATATTTGTGTACAAGCTGTTTAGATTGTCAAAAAGCCTGTGTTTTTAGGGTTATTAACAAAGTTCGTGTACTACGACCAGTAATATTTGGGGTCAAAAGTTTTTGCCATGAATGTATTGTGGCTCAGAAGATAAAAAGTTTGGGAACCACTGCTCTAGATGAGTTCTTTGTTAAAAATGTTTTATCTTTTGTACTAGACTCTGAGGAATTACAGGTAAACTCAACTTTTTAAGCAGTACTTCCATGCATGGTGTAAAAACAAGTTTAACGATGACAATCAAAACTGTTTGTTCACATGCAAAARTGGACTGAAAACAGGACTGTGACCAGCTATACATAAATAAATAACAAAGCAGCCACAATTCAAAAAGATGTGCCAGGACAGAAGAGCAACATCATCAGGACAAGGACTGCAGTTTACACTCATCTACAGGCCAGCACTCACACTTTCAGGGATCTCATTCTTGATAGAGAGAAACGCTGGTTTGAGAGAGGAGTAAAGGAAGTCATTTTGGTGAAGACAAAGCCCTAGTTATTAAACAGTTGGGCAATGACGGATACAACCCCTGGCAAAAAGTATGGAATCACCAGTCTTGAATGAGCACTCATTCAGACATTTCATTCTGTAAAACAAACTCAGATCAAAAACATGATACAATAACAAGGTCATTCCAAAGTGCAACTTGTTGGCTTTCAGGAACACTCAAAGAAATGAAGTGAAAACAATTGTGGAAGTCAGTGAATGTTACTATTATTGACCAAGTGCAGGGGAAAAAAATATGGAATCACTCAATTCTGAGGAAAAAAGTATGGATTCAAGAAAACTAGATAAACAAAAGACCATTCAAAATACATCACTGATATTTAGTTGCACCACCTTTGGCTTTTATAACGGCTTGCAGTCTCTGAGGCATGGACTTGATGAGTGACAAACCTCATCAATTTGGTGCCAACTCTCTTTGATAGCAGTTGCCAGATCAGCTATGCAGGTTGGAGCCTTCTTGTGGACCTTTTTTTTTTCCAATTTCCACCACAGGTTTTCAATTGGGATGAGATCTGGACTATTTGCAGGCCATGACATCGACTGAATGTGTCTTTCTCCAAGGAATGCCTTCACTGTTTTTGCCCTATGGCATGATGCATTGTCATCTCGGAAAACTATTTCATCACCTCCAAACATCTGTTCAATTGAAGGGATGAGAAAACTGTCCAAAATGTCAATGTAAACTTGTGCATTGATAGAAGAATGAACCACAGTCATCTTCCCAGTGCCTTTGCCTGACATGCAGCCCCATATCATCAAGGACTGTGGAAATTTGGTTGTTTTCTTCAGGCAGTCCTCTTCATAAATCTCACTGGAACGGCACCAAASAAARGTTCCAGCATCATCACCTTGTCCAATGCAGATTCTTGACTCATCACTGAAGATAACTTTCATCCAGTCATCCACAGTCCATGATTGCCTCTCCTTAGCCCATTGCAGTCTTGTTCTTTTTTGTTTAGGTGTCAATGGTGGTTTTCTTTTAGCTTTTCTGTATTGAAATCCCATTTCCTTAAGGTGATTTCTTACGGTTCGGTCACATACATTTGCGCCAGCTTCCTCCCATTTATGCTTCATCTGTTTCGTTGTACTTTTTCGGT